TATAGTATATTTTCAATATAATATCATTATCACTATTATCGGACATAATATAATTTATATTATTTACGTCACTGCAACCAAAAATATCGAACATCTATACAAATTAATCGATATATATTCTCTAATATTCTTTATTATACGAAATATTCTTTTATCTTGAAATATTCTCAAATATGCAAAAAAAACTATTGCCATTTTTACACCTGTTTCATGATTCGTAAAGATTTCGAACCCGCGTCTGACTGCATATAGACTCATAAAAAATATGCAAAAGAATATAATTCCGGGCTCTAGTTATAGGTATATTATTATAATGTCATATTAACAACTTAACAACTTAAACAATTTTTTTTTCAAATAACTTTTCAATCATGAATATTATTTAGTTTTTAAATTAGGAGTGTAGGACGCAGGTAGTAAATGTACGTATGAAGTTGAAATATTTTATCTAATAAGTATAGTATAGTTACTAGTTAGTAGTTACTTTTTGAGCTTTTGACTTGACACTGTTAAAAATATTTTTTTTTCAGCATACAACTAATTGAAAGGAAAGAAGTAAGAAATGAATACAGGACAGTAACCGTGTTTTCCTATGTATAGAAAAATGAAAAAACAATAGTCCACAATAATTATTTTACTGTATTACTTTTGTAATTTTGTAACATAAAAGAATCTTGATATTTTTCTCTGATCCAATAATAGTATACTCATCTCACAAAGTCACAACCCACTAAATCCACGATACCGAAATATAAAAAAAAATGTTCATTATTATTATTCATTTATCATGACAATCGATTATTATAGTTTTACAAAATGAAAACTGTTTATATTACAATAGGTACATACAAAATAATCGATGGTCGACGGATGCTGTATAAATTACAAAAAGCCACTTTAAATAGTTAGAGCAGATGTACAGTGTACACCCACACAATATTGACCACTGAGTGACCAGTGCCTTAATTCATTGCGGTAGGGCTATACTCTAGAGTACAGGGTATTAATACAATTTACAATGAACAACCGTATCTCACCGTGGAATACTTTTCCCACAAAATGTTACCTTATGGTAGATAAAGTAATAGTCTAAATATATGGTTCTAAAATGAACATTTGGTTGGTGTGCACTG